CAGCTTGCTGATTAAATTCTATCTTTTTTTGAAAATTTTTTTAGAGAGCTATATTTCCTGATGAATTTTTCATTTTATTTTTATTTTTTTTTCGGATGTAGGTTTTTCTGGATAGTGTTTCCAGTGATTACCTGTTCCAGAAAGTGAGCTTGATCGTAATCAGAGGATTTTTTTGGCTTCTAAGTTTGATATTTTCGGAGCCATGGATCGGACTGCTCTCACAGTTGGGCCAGGCATGGACATGCCTATAATGCACGATAGTGATCGTTATGAGCTCGTAAAGGACATAGGCTCTGGTAATTTTGGGGTTGCCAGGTTGATGAGAGACAAGCAAACCAAGGAGCTAGTTGCTGTTAAATATATAGAGAGAGGCGAGAAGGTTTGTTGTTTAAATTTTCATTTTTGGGTAGTTTCTTTCTTTTTTCTGGGTAAGTTGGTTTTTAATGGATTTTTTGTGGGCGGTTCGTTTTCACTTTTCCTGTTAAAAAATGTAATTTGGTAGCTGTGTGATATGTTGTATTGATTTGATCACTTCGTGGTCTGTTGTTGTTGTTGTTGTTGTTCTTATTATTATTGTTATTATTGATAGTTAATCTGGTTTCTATATTTGAACTCATTAATCATATAGTGTGTGTGAAGGCTTGTAGTTAGCTTCTCATTTATTTTTGTTGGGAATAGTGTTTGTTTTTGGTATTAATAGTTTCTTTTCTTTTGATTGGTTGACCTAATCTTGTAACATGTTTATCAATTTGTTCATTTATTGTGGAGTCAATTTATTTTTTCTTTTTCCTTCTAATTCTTCTGTATAATATAATTTCACACTATTTTAGATTTCTTCGATGAGGTTTATGAACTTAGTCGCTTGTTATTTTATGAGAAAATTGGTCAATTATTGACTTTCTTTTTTTTCTACTTTTCTTTTATTTCCTTTTTTCTTTTCCTTTTTGACTGTTTTGTTTGATTCGTTTGAATTGTTATTTTTCCTGTAATTTGAACTGATTTGATATGCAAAGGTGGGTTAATTAGAGCTTTTCTGCATGACAAAAATACATTGGTATTTTTGGTTGCATTTTTGGGAAATAATGGAGTTGCATGCGGCATGTAAAGTTTGAGAAATTGATGGAATTGTTTGGATTTTGTGAAAAGGATCATCCATTAAGTAGCTTCTTTATTTGTCATAAATTGAGCACATTAAAATGCCTGTTCGATGTCCCAAGAACATAAACTTGTTTTTCTATTTATCAACAAGATGAATAAGTTTCTTATTTCTTTATATAAACAAATCTTATCTTTTTGTTTGTCACATACAGCCAATATGTGGGTGATTACAATTTTCATTGCAATGCTTAATATGTTGTTAAGGAAGCTGAATATTTTGATTTTTCTCTGTCCCCCAGTCTCTCTTGATTATGCCATTGTTTGTTGTGCTGAATTGGGTTGATACGTATAGCTAAATGAACTCTATAGAAGTGTAGAGGACAATGATATATTTCGGGTCCGTGAAAGTTGCTGCTTGATCTTCTCTTGCTTTTGAAACTGATATAATATAGTTAATATATGTCATAAGCAGATCCCAAGGGACCTTTTTGGTGAGGGTGAGTAGAATATTTTTTTGTCTATGTACTTTCTATTTTTGTTGTAAACTTCTTTGTATTCATAATTAAGTTCATGATAATTTTATCATTAATAGGTTCGATGGGCTCTTTTACTGTTATATTACAATATAGTTTAAAAATATGCTGGTGTTGAATCTATTGATTTCTTCTTATGGCATATTGTTGGGAGAACCGACTGTGATATAGATCTATTGACGCTTAGAAAACTTCAGGAGCATATGTACAGGGTTCTAGCCAACAATTCGTTGTAGTGCTTAAAATTACTGTCATGCATGCCTTCTAGCCAACACTTTATTGTACTCTGTTTTCAAGAAAGTTGTTTGGCAATATTGCTGATCTTTGTTTCTTCAACGACCTTGGCTTATTAAACATATTTATTTTGGACATAGTTGTTGAATAGGTGTTTATCATTGTTGCAGCAATGACGGGATTCTAATGCCGTGTTAATTTAACATGGATTGACTTTTTTTGTTTAATATTTTAAAGTCAAAGTTGGGTGAAGGTGGGTGGGGATGAAACAATGTGAAAAATTGTGTTTGATCCTGACTTAGCATGGCTGCAAGAATTCACATGTCTAGAGAGACTGTCACTTTGACATCAAGCTTGGGGACTGGCCACTTAATACATTTCTGTGTGTAACAGATAGATGAGAACGTTCAGAGGGAGATTATCAATCACAGGTCACTGAGGCACCCCAACATTGTTAGGTTTAAAGAGGTTCGTTACACTAGGCGTTATTCTGTACAAAATGCATTCATTTGGGGTTTGAAAATCATGTTGTTCTTTTCTGGATCTTTCTCCAGGTGATATTAACTCCTACACACTTGGCCATTGTGATGGAATATGCATCTGGGGGGGAGCTGTTTGAACGCATATGTAATGCAGGACGCTTCAGTGAGGATGAGGTTTTTTAACCTGCTACTCTTTCTGTCATATTGTTCGCATGTATTTGCTCATTGTTTAATGCTCTTTGCTTATCAGAAAGATAGGGAAAAACCTACTATAACCTATGGACTATGGATTACAGCAGTCCCAATGGCCATCCGCTGTCGATTTGTGGATGGCTGAGAAAATTGTAGTGGGGCCCTGCAAACCATGCACCCAAGCATGATCGGGAATGGAGAATAGATGCTCCTTTGGAGTACCATGGGCCATACTCCATTAGAGCAGGACACTCTTTCCCAAAATGAAATGAAGGACTTATATTATGCTTTTTCTATGCAGGCACGTTTCTTCTTCCAGCAGCTTATATCAGGCGTCAGCTATTGCCATTCAATGGTACTTAAATTTAGTAGGTTATTTCCTTTATCTTTGTCTTCGATACGTGTATGGACAAATGATGTTTCTGTACCTTGAAGCAAGTTTGTCACCGTGATCTAAAATTGGAGAACACACTCTTGGATGGAAGTCCTGCCCCTCGTCTAAAAATATGCGACTTCGGATATTCAAAGGTAATATTGACTTCAATATTCACAGGTAACATCTGGTTGTTTATCTTCGTTGCAAGCATTAATGCTACTTTTTAATAATTGTGAGTGTTGTGACCGATGTTTTAAATGACTAGACTGTTCATTGAACTGGTGAGGAAGCCAGTCCAGTTCAACCGGTCACACCAGCCTTGTCAATATAAAAAGTAAAGAAGAACATCGATAAGAAAAGAAAATTGTAAAATTTAAAATTAAAAAAAAAAGTGTCATGTTCATCCAGTCACTGTTTCTTACTGGTACTCATTCTTTTTATAGGTTTTTGGGTTATAAGATGGACCCAACTGATTTTTGCCTGATTCCTGGTCCAACTTGCTAGTTCGGTGTGATCATTTGACAGTCCTGTCTAGCACCATATTTATCTTTTCAATTCTATAACAATGGGATGCATTCAGTAACATGCGATGAGTACCATCGTATTGGACCAGAGGTTCTGGATCAGAATTAATTGGTCAATGACACGCATGCGTGATGAACATTGTGAGTCTGAAGTTTACAGAGACTTTCAAACTAGCTAATCTATAGTTGCTTGGGCAATTAGTTGAGGATGATGCTTCTTTCCAACAATAAATGCGTTGAACTTTGTTACGTGGTCTTGTTCTCTCTCTTTGATGAACTGTTGATAATACCACTTGGGGGCCATCTGCTAGAGTTATGATGTTCTTACCTTATGGTATGGTCTTGGATAATAATGAGGTCTCGACTTAAATACTGTTTTATGGATCTCTACTATGTTATGATCAGTTTCTCTTTTAGATAATGTTAATTTCTGGCAGTAGTGATTTTCGTTTTTTTTTCCCAGTCATCAGTATTGCATTCACAACCAAAATCAACAGTTGGAACTCCTGCATACATTGCTCCAGAAGTTCTGCTCAAGAAGGAATATGATGGCAAGGTATGCTTAATTGAAATCAAGTTTTTTGTTGGTTTTTATGACTACTGTTTGCTGAGGTATAGGTAACTAGATCTTATTGACTAGCCTTTTAATAAGAGTTAAGTACACATTTTCATTGTGGTCTTACTGCCATGGTCTTACAATGTGTTACTTTATTAACCCCTGGCTAGAACTCTTCTTATTTTTCAGTTTATTTCCTTTTAGTATTCTTTATGCATATATGTATTGTTCGGATATCTCTTTGCCCATTGGGTTACATTCGATGGACTGTATGTAATGTATATATGCATGTCCAAGTTACGTAGCTTTACCCAAATGAAATTGTTTTGTAATGTACAATGAACGTTACTTGCCTTATATCTAATGTGTATAACTTGCGTCCTGCATTAGAAAGAATGATCAACTCTAGGAACAAATTTGTGCTTGATAAAGAGACCGAGGTTGTGTCTAATCGGTTTCTGCTTATGGAAGGACGTATATGGAAAAAATTTGCAAATTTTGTGTTTTCTTTCTGTTTTCCCCAAGACTTAGATGATCCTCTTCTTCGTTCTTGCACAATCCTGTCTCCGTTGATTTGAGATGTTTGCATGTTATATCCTAATCCTCCAAACTTATGCTACTTATTGGAAGGCTTTATTGTAATCAGTTGGACACTTTCATTTTAGGGATTTTAGATCAGGAGAATACTTCTCTTTACCACCTCTAGTTTTGTTTTTTTCTGGAAGTAACTTCGGAAGTATTTTCACCTCACCTAATTACATTCCCTCTTTGTGGGGAGCAGTTTCATTTTTTGATGTGGATCATTGATGAATAGTTTGAATCAGACATCTGTTCAGGGCTCCAAATATCTTCTTTGACTCACTAACTAGAATCACCTGTTTGATTATGTAAAAGGGGTCCAAAGTTTTCACTGCTTATTCTTCAGAATAGTCGAGACACTCTTGAACTCTTGGAGTTCACTGCATGAGGCTCTGAATTTTCAGACAGTGGTTTATGTTTATTCTTTCTATTTCAAACGGATAGTTGTTTAATATAAGGGCGGTGTTAAATGTTAAGTAGAATAGCACATGCAAGCTAAAACAAATAACCTAGAAAAGAAAAGGTCATTGGAGCATAATTGTGGTTCGTATATTTTGTGGAGTTCACTCTGTCCTCTTCAAGGGAGAGTGTTTGTGTAGACATTGTCTTCTTGAACCACATGGGAGAAAGATAGAGATATCCCTTCACTCTTGAAAAAATCCTCTCCCTGATATTAGCTGATTCTGGTTGCTTTCACAATGAGTGGACCAGTGTCCCTTTAGCACTGATTCCCCTTCAACAATGGGAGGACAAGTGAGAAGTGAAAACTTTAGTGTTCCTAATAAGAGCTGATATACGCTTTCTGTGGTTTGGAATAGTGTGTCTGATGTGATATACTAAGCTTTTGGATGATGACTACTTTTAGTTGAAGACACAATAATTTGTCCATATCGTTTGGTAGAAGTCACAACAATTTGTCTCTATTCATACTTGTTTGGAAATCCTTTACAGAACTAATGAACTATACCGATGAAGTGTGTGTGTGTGTGTGAGAGAGATGTGTGTGTGTGTGTGTGTGAGTGAGTGAGTGAGTGAGTGAGGGAGGGAGGGAGGGAGGGAGGGAGTCCTTTCTCTTATTTTTGGGTTTTAAGTTCATGGTCTGGGTGAAACCTAAGCGACATTGAAAAGACCCAACTTTCCAGCCATTCTGGGCAGAAAATGAACCCAAGAAAAATATGGGCAGAAAATGAACCCAAGAAAAATACGTCAAGAAAGAGAACAGGGTCAGTGCTGGCCTGTTCAACTTGGATTGGTTGAAGCGGCCAGTCCACCAGACAAGTCATTCTGGTTTTTGGACCACACTGGTCCAGGACTTCTTACCCGATCCCTGTGGGAACTAGTTCCTAGTCTGACCAGCTGGTCTGGTCTGGTTCGAGTTCTTAGTCTGACTGGCTGGTCTGATCCGGTTCTGATAACAAGATACCTATTGGTGGTTTAGCCCTAACAACTCTACTATTAGTTTTGGGCTTTCTGCTATGTCTTCCATTTGGGTTCAGGTTGTGTTCTGTGGATTTGGAAAGCTCTGTGATTACACTTATGACCCACATGACCATGGAGTACCTGGAACAATCTCAAGTCCTGAGCAGTTTTTTATGAGTAACCTTGCATTGATAGGAATGCAGTATAGTTGTACTTGAAATGGGGTATACCATTGGGATCTCAAGTCATAATTGTTTTGGTAGAGCTATTCTTGAGAAAGTCCTTGATTTTTCCTTTCATATGGGCCGAGAAGTAGAACATTAGACGCATGTGAGGAACAAAGGGTGGACTGATTTCTCTTTTCAGTATTTTTGGTCGGTTGTGTGATCCTTGGATTTTGGAAATTAGTTTCAACCTATGTTTTTTTGTTTTCCCTGGGGTAACCTTGATGGATTGAATTGCATATGGATAATGCTGGTTGACTCCTTTGAGGTTTTGGAAGTGAATACCCCTTCTGCTGTTCTTCCTCTCAGTGTTGCTGATGCTTTATGGAAGGAAAATAATTTTGGTGCTTCTCACATGGATATAATGTTGATAAGTTGCAGTAACAACTGGTTTTGAGGTAATTAGATACATCAAATTTTGAAAATCATAAATTCTAGAGCACCAAGTTGGAGAGAGAATTATTTAAATGCTGTCTGCTTTCTTTAGATAATGCGTATGCTTTTTAGAAAATCTCATAATTGGCACAAAATGACCACACTCTATGCTTTGTATGTATTATGACAGCCTTTTCCATGTTCTGTATGGCCTGTGTTGTCATTTGTACGCAGGAAGTTGTTCAATCCATTGTTCAATCCATCTGGCTTGTATGAGCAAATGAATTCAAATTCATCATTTTAGATTGGATCACATAGCAGATGGTTTCAAATTCTTCATTTTAGACTGGATCACGGAATTTATGAAAGTATCCAACCTAAATATATGATGTGACAGTTTGGTAGTCGGGAGAAAAAACACTTTTGAACATCAACTTTGGAATTGCCAAAATGTGATGACTATGGTAGTAACAGGTGTCTTACAGGATTATTCAAGAAATTCCAGAAATTCTTTAGGATTCAGTGTCATATATAATTGCCCATGTTCTTAATGCGGGACATCCAAAGTGGGAACTGTTTGCTAGTCTTTTGACCAGGATAGATTTTATGCTTCTCCTATACGTATACATCGGGAAATTACAATGTCTGTAGTTGTAAGCTTCTTAAGTGGTCCTCTCTTTGGAATGCAGATTGCAGATGTGTGGTCTTGTGGTGTAACCTTGTATGTCATGCTGGTGGGTGCGTACCCGTTTGAGGATCCAGAGGAGCCCAAGAATTTCAGGAAAACCATACAGGTTGTTATACACATAAAATTTGAATGAGTACTTAACCACGGTGCATCCATCATGTATCATCAAGTTCATTTTCTGTTTTTGTTTTTTTTTCCTTTTTTTTTTGTTTGTTTCTGCAGCGAATCTTGAATGTACAGTACTCTATCCCTGATTATGTGCACATATCCCAAGAGTGTCAACAGCTCATCTCAAGGATTTTTGTCGCCAACCCAGCAATGGTAAGTAACCCTGTCCGCCCCCTTGCGTGGCACAACACAGACTAGAAAAAATGCTCTGAAGCCACTTTTTCTAGCTTGGGTATTTTATCTCATCAACTGCCTCTGCTTCACTGTGGTACTCACCAAATCATAAAGCTGTAAATTCCAGTACCCAGTCAAAAAGTTTATGGTTTTTGATAGGAGGCCGGAACTTGAGTTTTGCATTTGACCTAATGTTGGAATATGCATTTGGAAAGTATTGTAATAAAGAAGAAAAACGAAAGTATGCCATGCACAAACTCTTTGTTTTATGGTAAGCAGCTGGATTATCCACCTTCAATTCTCAACAGCAAATGAATGAGATTGACGGTACCATCTGATGACATGCATTCACACTGCTATGGTTAATCTCCAATGACTTTCATTGAGAATGGTTGGTAGATAGCCTAGGACTCAGTCTCATATACCATTACCAGCTGTTCATGGTATACTTCCACGAAAGGAAAATCCATCCACTAAATTGGTTGTAAAGTATGCGTGTTGGTATTATTGCTAATCAAAATTGCAGAGGTTCTAGTCCATTACTCTCTCTGATTCAGTTTCTTGACATAATGGAAGAAGGTAACAATCTCATTTTATTTCAGTCGTACAATTGTTCATTATAAAAAAAAAAAAATTTATGTATTTAAGTTCAGTGGGAGAAAAATAAAATTTTGGAGATCTTCCCTACAGAATAAGAAACAGCGAAGACATACCAAAATCCACTTTCCTAGTCCCGTAAGCTCGTCATCTTCAAAGGCAATGATAGAAGGTGACATAGAGCATGGGTCCTCCAGGACCATACACGATCCAATTGTTGGGTCGTACTCTCTCCATTGTCTATTGCATTTATACATACTAGTGTTATCAAATTAGACCTGTCACCGAACCTGTGACGGTTCAGGTCCTTTGAAATCTAGTTTTGACTGCGCTCAAACCTGTTGGATTTCACTTTAAAAAAGTAAATGCACTATGATTTTCTGCAGTCTCTTGTATTATTAGACTTTCTTTCCCCCGGAAGAAAGGATGGAACCCAAACAAGGAGTCTATATTTCTGTTTTTTCTTTTACAGAGGATAACGATACCTGAGATTCAAAACCACGAGTGGTTCTTAAAGAACCTTCCTGGCGACCTCATGAATGATCATACCATGAATAATCAGTTTGAGGAACCAGACCAACCCATGCAAAGTGCAGATGAAATTATGCAGATCATAGCAGAAGCCACCATACCCGCAGCTGGTACCCGTGGCCTTGGCCATTATCTCACAGGAAGCCTGGACATGGATGATGATGATGACATGGAAGACCTAGAAACGGATCCCGATCTTGACGTTGATAGTAGTGGTGAGATCGTCTATGCAATGTAAGCTTAAATTAAAGAGTTTCTCCACTCTCTTCTTTCTAAGCTAGGGTTTCATGTCTTTGGAAGCCACGGATCATACATGGAGTTAGGTGACATTAGCTTTTGGGACATGGTTTAGGTGAGTGCAACCATTGCTCTTGCTGTGATGTAATATTAGCCTAGTTTGGAGGTGGGGTTGAGTGAGGAGCGGGTAGTCTTGGTGCTGCTGGTTAACTGCTTTGAGAGAGAGAGAGAGAGAGAGAGAGAGAGAGAGAGAGTAGTCGTCCTCGTCGTCGTCGTACGAGTAGTAGTAGTTAAGTATCGTACACGCGTCTATAGTTACGTTACTTAACGTAAGGGTAGGGGTAGGGGTACG